TCAGTACTTAGGGATTAAGTACAGTGGTTAGCTCGAGGGATTCGAGAGTTAGAAGTCCACGGGACGTGGCCGGAGAAGTAATTGATAGGATCGTGTGTAGTTGTGGCTAGAATAGAAGGGAGTTCGAGTCGTGTAAGTCCAAACTATACAAGTGTGAACGGTTTATCAATGAAAGAGCTCTGAGGGGAAGTGGGACGCTTCCCTGAAGAGTTTTTAAAATCTTCGGTTTATTGCTTCCGCATTATTCAGTTCTTATTTCAGTTCGTACCACCAATAAGCGCACTCCGTGATAATTATACGTTTCAAGATTTATCAAACGAGCAAAACCAGACTTTCATTAAGTTAAATGAACTAAGTCACTTCAGTTCGTTTAGTAAATGACCACACGGTCGAACATGAATTACTCATACTTAGTTTCGATAACACCCTATTATCAAGTGTCTTGTAAGGAATTATAAACAAAAATAGAAAGGAAAAAAAAAAAACTTGATTTTTTTCTTTACTTAATTTTTTTAATAAACTAAGATTAAGATCAAACAATCAGATAAAAAAAAAAAAACTATACTTTTTTCTAGTATAGTTATAAAAACTGGATTATCTATATATATATATTCGATGGCAAGTTTCAGTAAATTTTATTTAACTAACAATTAATAATAATGATAGTTCATTCGATAACATAGGTGGTCATTTAATAAAAATACATTCTCTATTTAATAAAAAATATGTAATTTTTAGTTACACGATTTATTTTGAATGTCCCATTTTGGATGGTGCCCATTTCTGTAACGCTTTTTTTATGCCCTAAAATACAAACATTTTTGTTTTTATTTTGATACTATATATATAAATTTTGATCCCCTGCCCATGGTGGGCAGTGCCCACCACTTTGTTTTATATGAAAAACGTATTCTGAGAATACGTTTTTCAATTAAATTAATTGAAAAACGTATTCTCAGAATACGTTTTTCATATAAAATAAAGTGGTGGACACTGCCCACCGTGGGCAGGTGAGCGGGGCTACTATATATATTTTTGGTATTATATAAAAACATATTTCACAACTAATTAAGACTAATTAAGAGCAAATATCTTTATTTTTTGTCGCAGCCATACAATAATAAAAAATATGTTTTAGAATATTATAAAGATAGATAAAATATTTTGAAAAATCAAATCCAATGAAATAAAACCCTTCATTGCTTCTGGAAAATGGTCATGCAATATATTTAAAACATTTTAATATATTGAATAAATATAACTTATACTACTTTGTGTCTAAAATTTAATATCATTATTTAACTTATAATTTTAATATTATATGCATATAAATAATTTATAATATTCTATTTATATTTGTACAAATACACATGATCAAATATTAGTACGTCTATATTAATATTTGTTACTTGTGAGTTACATGTGTTATATAGAGCATTTGCAATGCTTTAGGTCTAGCTTTGTCTAAGTCTTGGATGACATGGACAAAAATATATAAAATTAACAAAATTTACTCCAATACAAGGAGACTAGGTCTCTACTTGGGTTTAAAATGGACTTAAGGTTAGACCGGGTCTCTTTTTCTTGCTGTCACATCAGCAAGACCTAGTCCACTTTCACTTGCATTGGAGAACATATTTTTTTAGACCGAGTCTATTTCCGAGGTGGCATTCAATTTTTCTTGATTGAACCCAAAGCATTGTGGATGCTCTAACTGACAAATAATTTTGTTTTTCTAATAATATTAAAAATAATTTTATTATTGTTAAAGATAGATATAATTTATTTTTTTTATACATACAATATAAATGTTAAATCGAAACTCATCAATAGATGATTAATTTGTTACACTACATATGTATAACTGATAAAAAATACAAAAGTTATTGACTTTTAAAATATATATACAATTCAATAGTTATAATAAGAAATGATATTAAAATGCAATACATATATATAACATGACCATACATAATTAACATATTTATGATAATCTGAATCTAATTATTTTTTATTGAAATTAAATTAAAAATCTACCCAAGTCTAATAACGAAATATGTAAATTTGCCACATAAAATTCAAATCATGCGAGTTTGCCACTTAGGCTCAGCACGTTTTGAATTAATATATAATGTGGTAGCAAAATGAAAATAGCCCCAAAAAAATAGAATTGCTTAGGGCTTGTTTGTTTATGAATTAATTTATTCACTTTTATTTCAACTCAAAATTTAACTCAACTTTAACTCAACCCCACTATCTTTAATATTATTCATATAATTAAATAATACAAACCAATCATTCTTACATATCACATCAACTTTAATTCACTATTCATTCACTCACATATTTTTAACTACCTATAATTTCCAATCATTTCCAATCATTTATCTCTTACTTTTACATCAAATCAATTTTAATCATTTTATTTTAAATATTATTTTAATACATTTTTAAAATTCCACTAACAACTAACCATACTACCTTTTCAAAATTAACTATGATTAACCAAAATAACTCATTTTAAACAAATTATTACATAAACAATCAAGCCCTTAATTTATTACATAACACTCTGCACTTTCCTCGTTGGGCTATTTTATTTCTCGACACCTCTCTCTCTAAAACTGGAAAAAAGGCCTTCAAAATCTCCGAAAATTCGAAAACCCAGATCTATCTTCCTCCTTCCCTCACCTTAATTGTTGCCGTTCACCGTGAAACGGCGAATCGAATTGATCTCCGCCGCCAGAAACCCGCTTTTCCCCTGTTGGGTCAGTTATCAGGCGAATACCAGCGATCCCCTGAAAAATGAGTAACGGCGAGCTCCTCCAAATTGACCCGCTCGAGCTCCAATTCCCATGTATGTGATAATTCGTGCTTAGTGCTCTTTTTTTTTCTTTGTTTGGGTGTGTGAGTGTGTTGGGAATTCTTCATCCAATGATTGCCAACAGAAGATTCTGCTGCTCAATTCAATTTCTTTCTTTTAGATCCGTGCTTAGGTTTTTTTTTCCCCAATTCTGATGCTTATTTATGATATCGTTCTGGTGATTTGGTTCTGTGGTAGTCGAATTGAGGAAGCAGATCTCGTGTTCCATGCAATTAACCAACAAGTCCAATAATCATGTTGCGTTCAAGGTAGCTTTAACGTATTTACATTTCCCGAGTTGTCTTTTTCATTCGTTTTTTTGGGAATTTACCAAACCCAGATAAATAAGAATCATCCTTGAGGTTAAATGGCTGATCTTTTTATGCTTTTTCTCTGTTTTTTTATTTTCTAATTCAATATTTAGGTTAAGACTACAAATCCCAAGAAGTATTGTGTGAGGCCGAACACAGGAGTGGTGATGCCTCACTCTACCTGTGACGTTATAGGTCTCTCTCTCTCTCTCTCTGTGTGCGTGTGTGTATGTGTGTGTGCGTGTGTGTGTGTGTGTGTGAGTGTGTGTGTGTGTGATATGCATGGACTCTGGATGTAAATTTTCAGTTGAAGTTTGTCAATTTCAATAAAAACCATGAAAAGTGCGGAATTATATATGTTTTAAGTTAATGAGTGCATATGCATTTGCTGAATTTGTTTAATTGTATGTTTGACAGTCACTATGCAAGCCCAAAAGGAGGCTCCACCAGACATGCAATGCAGGGATAAATTTCTCCTCCAGAGCGTGGTGGTGAGCCCGGGAGTTACCACAAAAGACATTACACCTGAAATGGTACGTTTTTCTGATGGCTGTTGTAGTATTTGTTATCAAATTGGATATTTTGGGCTGCAATTTTTCACTCAAAGCTGGTAAATCACATTACCTGTGTTTTCTAGTTCAATAAAGAGTCCGGGAATCAAGTGGATGAGTGTAAGCTGAAAGTTTCCTATGTCTCGCCCCCTCAACCACCTTCTCCAGTGCGAGAAGGTTCGGAGGAAGGTTCTTCACCTAGGGCCTCGGTATCTGACAATGGGAATGTGAATCAAGCTTCTGAATATAATTCGGTTAGAGTTTGATTACTGATTGTAAAGAATTATGTTTCTTTATTGTTTTTTCTCTTATCATTTGTTCTCTTTCATGGCTTTGTAGACATCAAAAGCATTTGTTGAATCGAAGGAGAGCTCATCGGAGGTTTGTGTCCTTGTGTTTTTTCTTTTTCTTTTTTTCTTTCATTTATTTTATACATGTGTGAGCTGGCTTTAATTGGCATGACCAATTACTGCTAGTTGTTATTTCATGGGCATTTGAGGTGAAGCATTTGGAGCTTAGGAACTATGTCGAATCTTACTAGGTTACAGTTTTATCCCGGCATTGGTGATGTTATGGCTTTGTGGACCATGTCTGATAATTAGTTTTCGCTTTCCCGTTTCAATTACAGGCTAAGGCCCTGATTGCAAAGCTGACTGAGGAGAAATATTCTTATATTAGGCAGAATCAGAAACTTGAGAATGAACTGGTAATTGCTTGTTGTTTTCTTACAATCCTCGATTTTTTTTTGTGGGTCACGTCTTCCATGTTACTTTCTGACTGCAATCCACAGATTACAAGAGTGAAAAAGTTTGAAGAGATAAAAATTTGTTCCATTAATTTTGTGCTCTAATAAGCATATATCTTGATCTTGATGATGGATATTTAATTAGCCACTTTGATATCACTAATTTCGTTTATGGCGTGTAGGAGCTGTTGAGACGTAAAAGCAACAGTGGTGGGATCCCATTTACGTACATGATCATTGTTGGCTTAGTTGGAATCCTGTTGGGCTATCTTCTGAAGAGAACGTGACCGGTTTGAAACTCGGCCCTTGCCCTCGCATTTAGATACCTCAGTTTGTCTGCTTTGTTTCGGCATTATTTAGGACATTTGATGGAACAAGTCATTGATAAGAGAAGAGTTTCTTTTACATTTGTTTTAACTGTGTGTTTGTTCTACCATTGAAGCATACGCCTAAATGGTTTTGATTGGTTACTGTAATTGCTCGATGTGCATTCGCTCGTGTGGCTAGCCTTTTACATTTTTTGTTCTTTTGCTCCAATAATATGTAAGTCTTGTATTGCCATTTTTTGCACATTACCAACTTTGTTGACTAGCTTTTTATAATATTTCGTTTAGTGAATGGAAACATGCATGAAGTGGTCAGATGCCAGTGTTTTTTGGAGTTAAGAGTTGATTATTGTTTCAAAATTATTTGAACAATTAAAATGTATTATTTGAACAATTAAAGTATTTTACTTACATTTATAAGTAACTATGTATATGCACATACCATTGAATTTTAGAAAATATATACTGGGTAAGTCTCATGTTAATGTGAAAATAATTGAAGAATATGTATTTATCAAGGAAATAAATAGCTCGTTAAAGTTGTTGCTATTTGAGAAATAGTTTTTTTGGCAACGTGCCGCTATTTGTATTCATGTGCAATTTAACCGCTAAATCTCGCTAAATTTCCGCTATAGTTCCGCTATAGCTACAGTGTAATAAACGTTTTAGTCCGTTATTTAAAACCTTGGTATTTATATAAAATAAATTAATGAAAAATCAACTTTTATCAAAAAATTGTGTTCTTGATTATTTTCTAAGCTATTATTCTAACCAAAATCATATATCAATGGAAACCCGTGGGATAGTGCCCATGGGTAGGATTGAATCTATGAGTAGCTGAAATTGCTGGAGATCGT